CAAGGCAACACATGGGGAGGACAATGGCATTGTTTTTAACGTGGCCATGTGAAACAAGAGTCTTTAGTAACTTGAACTTTATCTGAGCAATATCAGGCTAATGACATTTCCACCTGCAATATGTGGCTGAGTGGATGGTACCTTGCCAGCTAGAACAATAAAAAAGAGTTCCAGTGTACATAGACATGACTTATTGAGTTCCTAGACCTTGCCAGTTTGCACAATAAAAAAGAGTTCCAGTGTACATAGACATGACTTATTGAGTTCCTACTAATTAATATAGTCTAAAAATTATAAATATAGCTTAAAGATTGAGTGCTTACATGCTATATCAACTGGCATTATCAAAACCAAATACTTTTACTTTCTCCATTATATGACCTTCTCAGTGCTGCATATGCAACTGGTCTTTCCAATCCACAGTGCACAGAGAATTCAAGCTAACAACAGGCAGAGTTAAAGCAAAAATATTCTTATGTAATTATCTTCTCATTGGAAGAAACCATTCATTCATTAAGTATCATTATTCCCTTAGTAGCTTATTAATTGCTAAGTACTAACGATATGGTTTTAAATTATGCAAATTGTTCTAGAAGAGGAGATATGCTTCAAGCAGAGTAAGCAATGAATATCTAAGCAGTTGTATCTTTTGCCATAATAAAACAATTAAAATCTAAATTAAAGCACATTAAATGAGAATATAGTTTCATAAGCATAAATCAAACTAGCCAAATGCAGATATTTGTAAAAATAAGATGAGTGGAAGACATAACTGTGTTAATACGTGCAAAATTAGATATCTTTGTAGTATATGACTATAAAATGCAAAAAGAATTGTATGCTTAAAAAAGATTTTATGCTTAATAAATCACTAAATTTTTCATAAATCATATCACTAATGAACCAAGGAAAGAGAGCAATTACATATATGTCATGTGAGTGTAAAATTAATTAAATATAAATAATATATCTAATTTTTATCAATATGTGTACTTTAAAGTTTTCATGTAGGGAAATATGGTATTATTAGACATTTTCACATTTACACACCAGCACAATTTGTATAGAGGATTGTGTATCTGGGTGATGGTAATTCATTTTTGCTTCTCTGTATTACAGGTAGATATGTAATGATGGATTTAAGAACAAATGGTTGACCAGCCTTCTGGTGGTCTTTAAAAGGGTTCTATGTGGTACTCAAGGTAAACAGGGGTCCCCAGTCACATACAAATTCTTACAAACAAGGAGTTTCTACAATTCAATGAAAAGAAACTTTAAATATTTGAAATTCCATCATGTTTGTAGATATACTATTATGCCTTGTTGACAAAAAGTATATGACCCTTGTGTCTTATCTCCTTTGATCTAGAATGTATGTATCTGGAAATGATTTTTTATAAGAGAAGTCTTCAAAAGTTATGCTTTGTGTTTTTCTTTCTCAAGTAAAATGCACTCCCCTTTCATGGAAATAACTTCTATACAATCAGTTTTAGCCAGGAAAATCATTAGTCAATGTTTTCTAGCTTCAGGTCACATAAGAAATGCAGGAAGCTGAAATAAAAACAGAAAAGTACTTTAACAACTTAGAATTGCAATTCATGTAGAATACATTCTTCAATCAATTTTCCATCCTAATTAAACTAGCTATGACCTTTCACCTCAAAATACAGTAAAGAATTACAAAAATTATCATAAATTAAAACACATAACAGACTATGTTCTATTTCATTTTTGCAGATTAAACTAAAGTCTTTGAACAGGTTATACTAAGAATCACATTTTCCAACCTGTACATTATTCAAGAAAAATGTTGCTGACATGTCAGAAACACAGTCACCTCACCTTGTAAACAACAGTGTTGATGAAAGTTAAATGAAATTTCTGTGGTCTGACATCCAGACTCAGAGTCTGCACTCAAGAGGGCTTACCTTGATGTATCACAATCTTCTGAGTTTTATTAAATCTTTTTCCTAACTGCTAAAACCACAGTAAAAACAAAACATAATAGTATACCTGTCTACTGTCTATGTATCTATTCATCTACCTGTCTATCTATCTACTTATCTATTATACCTTATATTTAAACATCTATTGGTATTTATCATCTATATATCACATATAATTCATTTATCTTTCATCTATAACCTGTCTATCATCTATCGATATCTATCTTGTATGTATAAATGATATTTGTAGCATATGTTTATCTATTTTCTGTCATCCCTCTGTCTCTTTGTCTGGCATGTGTGTGTGTGTGTGTGTGTGTGTGTGTGTGTGTGTATGTGTGTGTGTGTGTCCTCCCTTGAATTTTACTACAATGTGCCCCATTCTAATTTGTTTTTGGAATTTTAGCAACTGTACTTTACTATAATTACTTTTCCAATCATCTGCTAATTCTAGTCTCTTAATGTACATTGTTTACAATGCAACTGTTTCACATATTTCTAAAACTGGTAAAAGAATATACAACATATATTTCTGGTAATTAAAAACTCATGTTTTATTTCTACAGCAGCTATATCTCTTGCTTCTCAGAAATAAACTTCTGTAGAAACATACCATTTTAATCAGAAATAGTGATTCCCTCAAGATTTCTACTTGCAGTGTTCATTAGAAATACACCCTGAGTCTTCAAAGCTACATAAAGAACCATAGGCAACCAAGAAATGCAAAGAGCAGGGAAAATAGTCTTAATGGAATGAGCATATGAGTTTGTTATTCAATACCAAATGGTCATTGTGAAAATATTTTAAAAAGTAATGCTATACAGACAGGATAGGTGGTATTTAGAAATATATACATGTGTTTATACATATATACATGTAATAAAAATTAATGAAAAAAGGTCATACATTTAAAGGAGAGCAAAGAGGTAGGTAATGTGGGAGACTTTCCAGTGACTAAAGTGAAAGAAAAATGATATGTTGTCATCTAAAATAAATAATTTTAAATGTATAAAAAGAAATGCAGATGGTTTAAGCAAGCAACACATATATTGTCAAGATTTAAGCAGGCATATTACCACTGCAGTTCACAGCTGTCATAGTTAGCTGATAACTGCTTTAATACAGATGTCGGAAGCATAGAGATTCAAAAGTGTATTTTATCAGCTCTACTGGCCTTCTGAATAGCCAAATACAGCTTTTTACAGATTTTAATGGAAAATGTCTTAAGCCACTTTATTTTTTCAAAGGACATGTTTACATGGCATCTCCAAGCATCTGCACTTTGAAATCTATCAGGATAATAGCTTTGTTTTCAGGAATACATTCAGTGTTTAACATTCAGTGAAAAGGTCATATTTTCAGATGTTAAGTCACAGAATGTTCATTCTAAAACCTTGACAAGTTTGACCTTTCAGGAAAAGTGTACATCCATGTGACTATGGGTGGACTGTGGAAAATACGTCTTCACTCATAATACAATTGTTTGCTAATCCATACATTCTTAGTTTACTCTTATACAAAACATACTAATGTTGCATATTTCTAAGGTCAGTTTCCATACCTAGAGTAAATGTTGCTGATTGAATTGTTTTATTTTCAGCACTCCTTGTTCCCACAAGTTGGTAATGCAATGATGTAAAATTAGCAGAACAGTAGCATGTTTCCTCTTCCTATCTGTTCAGCTTTGCATCACATTAGCATTGTTTAGACTCAAGTCTATACTCAAAGAGCTTCCACTAGTTCCCTTTTTCATGGTGCTGGGCTTGAATAAGCCAGAATAGACTCATTGACTTTATATTTATGGTAGAGGAATGTGATGGCTAGTTTTTTGTCAACACAACTTAAAATCACTGGAGAGGAGGGAGGCTCAATTGAGAAAATGTCTCTGTATGTTCAGGCTGTAAGCAAACCTGTAGGGCATTTGTTTAATTAGTGATCAATGGTGGAGGGCTAATCTCATTGTAGGTGGTGCCACCCTGGGCTTGATTCTATAAGAAAGACATGAAGACCAAGCCAGTATGGAACATCCCTCCATGGGCTCTGCATTAGCCCCTGCCTCCAGGTTGCTGCTCTGTTTTAGTTCCTGTTGTGACTCCCTTTGATAATTTGCAGTAATGTGAAAGTTTAAGCCAAACACACATTTTCCTTCCCAACTTGCTTTTTTCTCATGGTGGTTCATCTCAGCAATATTAACTCTATCTCAGACAGGGTATAAAATGAAAAGTCTGTGATGAAGAGGTGAAGACAAGAATGAAATCTTCCAAATACAAGAAAATGGAGTTTAAAAGAAAATACTAGGGTTTGGTGAGATAGCTCAGTGAGTAAAAGTATTTATCATCAAGACTGATGACCTAAATTCAATCCCTGAGACCCAAATGGTAGATCCAAGCAGTCCCATGTGAGAACTTACATGCTTGCATGCACACACACAGACACACACACACACACACACACACACACACACACACACCTATAAAATAAACAAATTGTCCCAATTAGAGTTAATATCACTGTGATAAATCACTATGACTAAAATCTTACATAGGAAAAAGTTTATTTAGATTATGTTTCCAAATCAGTGTCCCTCATTAATGGAAGTCAGGACAGGAACCTGGAAGCAGAAGCTGATACTGATTCCAAGAATGATTGAACACTGAGGGGAACCAGAACAAACATCAATGTAGAATTTTTTGAAGAACACAACTCCACAGTAAAAACAGAAATACTATTTTTTGCTGCTGCAGAAATTTGTGCTCTATGGGGACCCCTAAAATTATGGAGCCGAACTAGCATAAAATCTCTTCAACAGCCCCTCATAGTTACTCTTCAGCTGTTTTTCAAAGGCACCCTGAGAAAATTGCAGCCTGGTGATGGGGAATGTACTACTGTGTATGTTTATCTTATTGATTATTGAATAAAATACTGTTTGGCCAATGAGACAGCAAGTTAGATGGAACTAGGAGTCAAAGGGGATTCTGGGAAATGTAGTAGAGAAGTGCTGATCCAGGCAGGAAGTGACATAGCAAGGAGACTCATATTTAAGCGAAAGAGAAACAGGAAGGGCTCTCTTTTTTCCTCGGCTCCTGCTCCAGCAGCATGATGTGATCCACCAGGTAGGAGGGATGCCAATAAGGCTTCCGATAAGATAAGTCTTATAAAATATACAGATGTATGATAATTGAGACTGAGCTAATAGATGAGAATCCTAGTCATTGGCCAAGCAGCACTGTAACTAATACAAGTCTCTCTGTGTATTCATCTGGGCCTAACTCGGGCAGGCGGCTGTTGTAAAGCTCACACATGGCAATGGGGCTTAGGCGGCTTTTGGCAGAAAGATTTATAGTAACAGCCTGGATTTCAGTTCTGGTTCAAGGTCCAGAAACACTTACTGCCATCTCTTCCTCCTCTAAAATCACAAATTAGTAATTCAACACTGTCCATGGAAAATCCACCCAAATGCCTGCTCCCACGCCTCTTCAGAACTGGGTGGACTGGGTATACAATTCATCCATCCTGGTCAGAAGTATGCAGAGTAGGAAAGTCTATTTAATTAAAGGACTAATAGTGTTCTTCTTTCTCTGGTAAGTGACTTAGAAGTAGGAATTGATTCATTTTTCCCCAACTTCAGAAAGCAAGCTCTGGTACTGTGCCAGTAATTTCACTGAAAGGACTCTAGGGAGGACACCATGGATCTAATAGGTGGTTACTTATGCAGGCTCACTGTGAAGAATTAAAATGACTACAGCATCCATGCAGTCCTTTTGAAGATGCAGGCATTAGGACATGTGACTGCACTTGTTTGCACTTGAGACAGAATCTTAACCAATGCTAGGTCTGAAACTTCAAATAACTTACCTAGAAGCAGAGCAGCACACTCCAGGAGCTTTCCTCAAAGTACTGGCGAAGCATGGATTTGACAAATATGATCAGTTAGTGAAATGGTCTTTTTCTAGACCTGTTAGTCAAAAACATACCATGTGAGCAATTTTAATAAGACCATGGAAACAATGGAGAATGATCACAGTTAGATTACAGATCATTGGAAGCAGAGGGTTCTCTGTACCAAGACCACACAAACTGCTCCACAAGTCTGACATTCTCCCTATTTTTGTGAGTGAAGTTCCATTAGAACACAGGAAATTCACTGCTGACATCACATCCCTTTCTAGCTCTAACCTCTGCCCTTAGGTCATCCTGCATCATCAAAATCATAATCAGGCATTTTGAGAGAAACAACTATCCTCACTGGTTTTGACAATACCTGTGTCTGAAACCTAGTGTCACACAAAGAAAGCTAGTTGTGCTGGCATTGCTTTGGATCCCAGGATTGACAGTGGAACCATGAATACAATATTACTTTTGTTACTCATCCACAGAAAAAAACAGCACATAAGAGCTTGATGGCACAGAGAGTTGGATCGATGTCCCCAAATGCTTTTTTCCCCTCTCTGATGCACTGTCTTTCACTGACAATAGAGAAAAGGTTAAGCTTAATACTTTCGACAAAGAAGCCACTTACCCAAATGTTGGCATTTGGTCACTGTCTTAGGTTTCGATTACTGTGAAGAGACATCATGACCACAGCACCACTTACAAAGAAAAAAAGCTTAAATGAAGTGGCAGTTAAAGTTCAGAGGTTTAGTCTCTTATGGTGCAACATGGCGGCATGCAGGCAGACATGGTGCTGGAGAAGGAGCTGCTACATCTTGATTGTGCAGCCAACAGGGAGTCATTTGTCTCACTGAGCATGGCTTGAACGTATATGAGACATCAAAATCGGCCTGCACACTGACACATTTCCTCCAACAAGACCACACATACTGCAACAAGGCCACATCTCCTCATAGTGACAATACTTTTGGGGGCCATTATTTTCTGCACAAAACCTTAGGTAATGGATGTTACCCTTCAAAAATCAACTCAAAGAGGTTATCCTTTTACTTTCTTTTGCAAGTGAACAGAGTCCTCCTGCTAAATTTATCCCATGTATAATCATAGTAATGAAATAAACATGTTCTATGCACATAAATTCAATATGTCAGAGTTTCCTGTAGGGAGACACCCTAGCCCCACCCCAGGTAACCCGGACAGGTATGCTGGGACACGCCCCTGAGGGAGGGGTGAGGGGAAGTCTGAGATGGTAGAAGGAGGTTCAAAAAGAACGGGCCTCACTGGAAAGCCCCTTCTCTCAGACCACGCTAGCTTTCGACCTGTGGGCATGCTTTGGCTTGTGTTTGGGGTGGTGATTATCTGAATAAAGAAATCTTAGCCTTATGGACTACACATCATCTTTGAGCGCACACAGCATGCAATAATTTCAGTTTCCTTTATGATATCTAAATGAGACATTTTAATGAGGTATTAATGTGCACTGTTATGAAGAGTATAAAGCATTATCTCCCCAAATTTTAAGGTCATTGGCCTGGAGTTCAGTGGATTAGGGATTACCCTGGTAGAATCAGGCTTAGGTTCAATCCACAGATCTGGAGAAATAGGATTCTGATTCAGAACGACTTGTGTTTCTGCTCATAGTAAAGGGACCTGAGTTTTCCCAAATAAGCTAGTAAATATTAAAACTGACATACAGCAAAGTTAGCAGAACTGACACTAAATACACAATTTACACACAAAATCACACACATGCACGTGCACACCCACACATGCACACACACACATGCACGTGCACACAACATGAAACAGAGTGGGAATAACTAGCTGCGAAATAGAAGGTTGTCAATGCGACTTGGAGAAGAATAACAAAAGGCGATGGGGAAGGAAATATGATGGCTACACATTGTATTTAAGTAAGAAACTGACAAAAAATTAAAATTGAAGGAAAAATGAATTATACTTCCAGCCCATTCTATTCTCATCTCTTCATACCAGGTTTCATGAATTCAGACTAAAAATCCACCCAAGTATGCCAGCATGGCTCTATCAACTCTATCACTTCTTCCCTTTTTCTTTTTTCAAACCAGGAAAGCCTTTTCTGGTTTCCATACCTGTTAAAATCTAACACATATTGTAGTTTTTCTGGTAATAAATAAATGTGAGTGATTTCCTTGGTCCCTTTAATGATTTCAATAAACATGTCTCTTGGGCTAAAGACTTATCCCATTTTGACTGCAGCATTTTAATCAGTAAATGTTTCATCTCTTCTGCCACAAAACTTCCTAATGCCCTTATAGATGATTTCACTTCTCTGAATTCCCCATACCGAAGTTCTTTGTAAGAATTGGTTGAAAACCCATAAATAGAATCCCATGCATTTCTATGCACATTTGACTTTGAAACAGACAGTTACAGTGAAAACAACGTAAAGCTTCTCAATTCCAATAACACATATTTATGAAATCCCCATAATCCCCTTAGCACTCAGTCTTCACATGAAAATGTGATGAGGTGTTGTTGAATACCCTAGGATAAGAACTGTTTGCTAAACAGATAAGCAGGTTTTTTTCTGCAAATGATTTTCAAAATTTCTTTGCAAATAGCAAGTCCTACTTTCTAAAGTAGAGCGCACTCCCCGGTAACCTACTTCAGGCCCTGCTGTTTCCCACTCTTCCACTGTGTATGCTTTGTATGAAGTACCACAAACTCTGAGATACACATCTTCTGTGAAAAGAGAAAAATGATATCAACTACATATTGGTGGTTCTGAGAATGCTAAGGTTGAAAAATAGTGTTTAACAATAAGAAAATACACAGTACATATTATATTTTACATTCATATCTGCATTTCATTATTAAGCTTCATAACATGAAACTACATTCTTGAGTCAGAATTAGTCAAACTGGTTTTATTCAAATCATGATGAGAAGGGTACAGTGTAAATGTCTACAGAATATATGTCATGAACACTCATCATCATGTGGAAACTATCTTAGAAAAGGAAATATAATTTACAAACCTAAGTAAACTGAATACTGTGTTTTTTTACCTTGACACTTTAAAACCTGAAAGCCTGAGAGTGGTTGTTGACAACAAGGGAAACAATTTTAGTTATATGTTCAATCAATGGACTGGAAAGCATTTATTTTGAAATAAATATGTATTGATGGCAAGAAAAGTCGCTGTACTATTAATGAAACAGGTGCCTTTGCTGCAGCCTGTTATTGCACTGATCATTATTTTTCCAGTCAAATGATTCATGATATTAAGTTCAAATATCTTTTTAGGGAAATAGACAAATAAGCAGGCATAAGGATTAGAATCTTAGAGTTGTAATAGTTATTGTAGGAGGAAATCATCTCCATAGTCATAACCACAATGCCGTATATCATATCTAATAGAACTCCCATGATCCACTGCTGACAGAGGGTGTGATTCTGCTTCTTTGTTAGGAAAGAGAAGCATAAATGAGCCAATGTTTCTTGTAATAACTTAACACTACACTATGTACATCCTATTTAACTAGCATAAGCAGTGCAGGAGGAAATAAAGAAAACATTCAAATTGCTGGTTTGTAAGTTTATATATGGCTAGGGATTTAAGATAAGGTGTCTTTAAATAAAAATCTACAGAGGTGGATGTATGTCAGTGGCAGATCACTTGATTAGGGTGTGGAAGCTCTGGCTCCAATCTCCAGCAACACAATACAAAAGACAAAAAATGAAGTAATAAGCTTTTGTAGGGATTTTTGTTGCTTAAATTGAGTGGAATTATTTAATTTGTTTAGCTCTTGCTATTTACCATAACTAATTATCAAGAGGGACAATCAAAGAATATAAAAAGCCAAGGATGTAGGATATTTTATTTGTAGTCTTGTATTCCAAATTCTAAATTTCCAAAAGTCAAAATTATTATTTTATGGTAACATCTTACATAGCCAACCCACAAATCTTGGAGCTACTGCCGCCACCTCATCCCCTAGTTTTAGTACTGAGAATCAGACCTAGTGCCTCTGATGTGCCCAGAGCTACATTTCAGCTCCTTGGAGTCAGCCTTTATTCTCTCTTTCACCCAGTCCAGAAATTCATATCATTAGTACTAAAAATACACAAACATATGAAGTCTGATGGACAGTCATCTCAATGCAACAATGCACTAAGTTTGTAATAAATACCAGCATCAATTATAAACTGAATTTCATATTCTGCTGTTGTAAAGGAGAGTTAACAACTTTGGTTCATAGGATTGTTAGGGACATGAATGAGAAAGTTGTAAAAATTACTGCACATACTTATTCTATATTATTTCTTTACTACTGTTCAATTTTGTCTCAAACTTAATATATTAATTTTTTTAAAAAATAAACTCAATATTGAGTTTAATGTTTGTTAGTGAATTCAACACCTAGAAAAACACATTATTTCTAATTCTGGTCCTAAGCCCAACTGTAACAGACCTTAACAAATAAGCACAGAGAAAATATTTCATTGGCTGCAGTGTTCCTCTAATTATCTACTTTTGTTTCTTCTAAATGACATAACTTACATGGAATAGGAGATGATTACAGTGCAAGTCAGTTCTTTCTACCTAGGATTTCAGATAATATATTGCTTCCCACATTAAACATTAAGCTTAAGAAAATAAGCACAAGGTTTAAAAATTTAATAGTTTGTATATACCAAAGGAACCTTCATCTCTGCAAGTATGAGTCTAGCCACACCAGATTGCATGTGATAGTGACTTCAGTCTGAAATAGCTAATAGTTAATAAGCTTCATATTTTTCTTTGCTTCTGAGTTGATAAAATGTGGCAAAGAATGTCAAAGTATTTGAACCAAATTATCACTAATTTATTTATGAAGAAAATAAAGGTCTCAGAGTTAAATGTCTTGCCTAACATTTCACAGACTTGAGCACTTGGTTTTCATACCTAGTGATCTTCTCAGGTATGTGTGACACCATATGTCTTGAAATCTAAAATCAAATTATTGCTTGTGTTTTACTTAGAATTTTTATTATAAACGGATGCCCAATTGCCAATTTCTGCATCTATTGATTATATAATGTGGTATTATCTTTTCTTCTGTCAAAGAGGTATATTACACTATATTTCAGGTGTAAACCACTTTGAACAGTACGCAATCCAATTTGATGTACTACTGAATTATTGTTGTTGGTAATTTATTGAGGACTTTTATATTAATCTTCTTCAAAAATACAATAAAAACTATTATCATTTTGTTTATGAGAAAACAAAGTTCTTTAAGTGTTCTATTATAATTAATGTGTACAAATTTTCTGTGCTCAAATGCTTGATTTTGCCACCATACCTTTTTACTATATCTCAATATAATGGATTGTATTTACTTTTTCCTAAATAGGATCTTAACTGGTGATTTTCTACTCCGTATCTGCTAGCAAGTGTGAAAACTAATAATACATTTTTAGACTGATACATGAAACACAAATTGAGGTGCTGAATTGGTTTTAAAATTGACAAGTTTGTCAGATAAATCCTCTTTGTCCTAAAACACAGTGACATGGGCCCTGTCTTCTGTGCAATATTATTTATCCACCTTGTCATTTCTATTCATCACTCCATTTGTATTTCATTCTTCATTTTATCATTAATCAAGCTATTTTTAGCCACAATACCAAATAGGCACTGCAATGTGTAAGTCTGAATTGTGGAATCTGGAAATATGACAGAAATATGTGTGGCAGTAGACCAATAGCAAAGTCTGCTCACAACACAGGTATCTAATTACACGCTCACATAGCCTGCCTGTTGAGATTTCTTTCTGTCACTCAGCCCAAAGCCTGTCTTGACACTTGCCTTGAGCAAGGCACCTCATGTGTCAGTGGAACTTTAACCTGGGGCAGACAAGATGCAGAGAGGCTGTGTGACATAAAGTCACTCTCATGGGGCTCAAGGTCTGCTGAAGTCTAAGTGCTAGTCTGAGCTTACGTCTGAAATGAGTGTCAAAAGTAATGACATGTATTTTTACTGAATGCCACTAGGCACAAATATCCTCTGTACTTATGTAAGTGGTCTGGACAATTATCTGGACAGAAGTCTAAATAGCTCTCAAATGTCTTGCCACACTTGATTAGAATAATTTGGCATGAATGAAAGTACTTAGTATTAAACTAGCAGGTTAGAGCCAAAATTTCCATTGACATGCTATTCACAGAGATAAGTGCATACCACCATTCCATTCCAGCAAGTAGAATTGATCCATTTATATGCTACTGTTAAAAAAGTGGGGATATATAATTGAAAATGTAAAATCCAAGCTAGAGACCAACTTCTAGTGGGATTATAAGTATTCCAACTATTATTCACCAAACATGGACGTAAGTGTGCTTTCTTCTAACCATGCTTTTCCACTCTACACAGCCACTGATAGAAATAACTCATCTACCATAGACATTCCAGACTGCATTCCACATGGTAGTATTGCACAATACTCATCCTTCAACTGATATTTGAAGATTAATATAAATATTCTTTATCTCCAGCTTCAAAAAATGGTTTGGCAATGGATCATTTCAATGTTAGTAACTCTAAATGCTGTTCTGCAGCAGTGTAAGGGGTAAGATGTGGATGTTCTTCCTATGGGTAGAGTTTTTGACCAAGTAAGTAAGAATTGGCCCAGATAAGGCATACTGTTTCACAGTTGTTAGTAGACACTTTAACAGAACATGTTGATCAAGAATTTTGTCTTCTCTTCTAGTTAACTGTACAGTGAGTATGTTAACTCAGGACACATTGTGTCTATATTGAGGCTACACATAAGCTTAACTGCAAAGCAAAACTTTCACCAAATAATTAAGATAGCTTTTTCTCACATTTAGGAATTAGCAAAGGAGACTAACACTGAGCCTCCAACATGCAGTTCCTCCTAAGACCATTTCCAGTTGCCCATTGTCAAGAGAGTTTACCAGATCCTTTTAAGAGGCGGATGTGACCCATCAATTCTCAGTAGAATGCATACATTCTGAAGGTTCTGGATTGTCATTCCAGCTGCAAGGCCTACTCATGCATTCTGATTTCACAACATAAATCCTGCACAATTTCATGTTAGATCAATGGATAGTTTATGAAAGCAGATGTGAATAGAAACCTTGAGACTCTCTTCCTTTCACACACTAGCTAGGAGACCCTGAGCAGTTGGATTAGTAGGGCAAAAAGACAATCATGTATTTAATACATCACTATGACAGTAACACCACTGGAAACAAGGAACTGGGCACCCAGGTTATAGCTCAGTTTGCAGAGTGCTTTTCTCCCTAGGTTGCTTTTGGTGGTGATATTTTAACCCAGCAACAGAAACTATAAGGCACAGAGCTTATCAGTCTCATAGACTGAATGGATAGGGTATTTGAAAATACCCTAAGTTTTTTGATGGTGAGATAAGTCTTGATTTTGGAGTATAATTCTCTAGAGCCTCTTGCAATCTACAGAAAATCATCCTGTCATCATACATGTTTTGACTTGGTAGGAATAGTCTGTAATCAATAATCATGTCACTGTTTGAAACACTCATGTACTTCAAATAGCTGTTTATGTTGGATCCCTTTCAGGGAAACTTTTCCATTTTAATTACAACAGTGGCTTTTTCATCAGGACACCAGAGCAGGAATTCAATAGTAAGAACCACATTGCTGTCATGCCTTAATTAAAAATTCAAGTTTCAGGATAAAAGATTAACTAAAAAAATCAGTAGTCCTACTATATACAGATGATAAATTCGTGGAAAAAGAAATCAAGAAACATCACCCTTTACAATTGCCACAAACAACATAAAATAATTTGAATTATGTAAGATCTTGTAAGGGCCTGAAAATGCTTAAATGTATTATCAAATATTCTTTCTATAACTCTGAGTAATCTGATACAATTTTGAGGATCACAAATTAATTCTTTTCTTTTATATTAAAAGGATTAATAATTAAAATTACTAATAAAATGCTACAGGCTTTGAAAATCATCATAGAATGATGAAAAGGCATGCAATTGGAGGATTGGTGTAGAAGATCAGAGAACTGAACACCTGACAGTGCTGTGCAAGGTCCAGTTTCAAATTTCAACAATATATAAGAAACAATAAAGATAAATGCCATAGGAAGGAATCTTATTTGATTGGCAGCTGTCCTTCACCACTTGAATAAGCAGGTAATCCATTCCTTTTTCTTCTAATGTTGTTACTTCTCCCTTTTCCCTAGACACTGTCCAAAATGAGTTTTAAATGATGTCATCTACTCAGAACAGCAGATTTTCATCTATTTAGGGCAAAGTGCCCATTCTGCAAAAAAAAAAAAAAAAAAAAAAAAAAAAAAAAAAAAAAAAAGGAAAAGAAACAAAAGCATATCCCTTATATATCCACATCAAATTTTATTTTAAGTGTACCACTTTATGGATTTTATTGTATGTTTCTACACAAATGATGAAAATGGCTTTAATAATCTGACTTTTCAGTGACCAAGTCTTGTTCTATATCCTTGAAGAATCTACAGCAAGTTGCAAAATTTATTACCCTGTCACTGGATCCCAGGGTCATTGAATGTGTTCTAGAAACAGCAACAAACAACACAAATCAGCCTTGCCTCTAAATGTAAACATCTCTCTCGAAAAAGATGAATGCATGTAAGTGGAAAGTCTTTGGACCATCAACTCATTCCTACACTGCCATTCCTTTCATATATATGGTTGATATTACAAATATGTTTCTCTCTTATTCTCAGACATACTGGCATGGTTGCTTTTCTTATAGGGCTATTTTCCAAATACAGAAATGACCAGTAATATCTGGCAGAATGAGACAAATTCTGAAAGGTTTTCACAGTCATGAAGACAATCTCTTGCTATTGAAAACTAAGTCGATAGTTACAATTTGGAAACACATCTCACACACACACACACACACACACACACACACACACACACACACACACACACAGGCACACACACACCTGTTTTACTTCTCTTTTATGATATGAAATATGCTTTCTAAGTTATAGTCTCATGCTTATTATTGAGAAAAATTCTGAAGGTTATAGACAATGAACATCAGTAAGAGAATTTTTTTCAAAGAAGATTTTGTTACATTGGATTGACTTCAGAGGGACCAAAATTACAGCAAAAGCCCATATTCTTAGACAAGAAAAACAGGACAATGTATTTAGTCACAAAAGTCTCAGTTCTGTGATTCAACTTCTGAACACTTAGAAAACAGTACAGGAGGGGGAACAATCTAAACATCATTGCAGGATAAACAGAATGGAAACAGAAGTATCTCAGATCTAAAGACTGCAGAAAGCAACTGTTATAGCTGTGTTCATGCCTGTGGGTGTATGCACTAAAGAAAACAGATACCTGTTGAAACCAGAAGGTGGTGTCATATCCACTGGAGCTGGAGTTCTAGGCCTTTGTGAGAATCCAAACACAGATGCTGGTTATCAAACCTGCATTTTCTCCAAAAAGAGTAAGCAGCCTTAATCCTGAGTCATTCCCAGAGATCAATTTTAAAGGTTAGCATGGAGATATTTAATGAATATTGACTATATTCCACACCCTGAAAAGGCATAGGGTTTTTTTTTTTTAACTCCAGTGCTCAGTAGAAAATACATGGAATGTGCTTATGTCACTATTAAGTCACATACACACATGTGCCTAAAATGATACAGGACATGTGCACATGTGTTAGTGTAAAGGTACAAAAATGTTCCCTAGGCATTAGGGGAAAACTAAATGTTGTTATATGTCATTAATTTTATAGTATTCTATTATTTGAAGTAACCTAGAGGAATAATATACTTTTAGATAGAGTTTAGATTACATATAAACTCAACTAAGAGCTTGAGTTTATAAATATTCAGCATTTTTGTTTGTTTCCATTCATTTTTCTATCAAGTATCAATTCATTATCTCTTAGTTCTAAACCAAGCAGCGTTTTAATTGGTTTTATGGTACAGTTGCTATGTCATATAAAATACCTGATTGCAGGCTGGAACAATATTAAAACCTTTCAGAACCACTGAAAATGAGAAGAACATTAAAAATGAGTTCACACAGAAGCCAGCAGGCTCCATACAACTGAAGATTGCAATGAACATAGTCTTATACAAAATTATAAATTTATTTAAAACATTATGATTTGAAATTGGTGGTTTTGTTTTCTAACTCAACTGTGAGTGATACCATGGTGCTGCAATGTCAAGGCTGAACTGGCTGGGAGCCTTTCCTAGGTTTCTTGACTGGTGATTTTCAAAGTCCCCATTGTGTGCAAACCCAGCTAGAGTTCTCTGATGCAGAAAACGTACCTCCTTCCTGAAGAATGCAACTAATAACCAATAGGAGAGAGGATGAGATCCTGGGTGAATATGTATTGTTGGCATGAGCATGGCCTGTCAAGGACATCATAATCTCAAAAACATGAAAATGGCAAAGCTTTCCCCTGGTCAACATTAGGAGAATAGCAAGGCCTTACACTAATTCAAGCATGCAGGTTGACAGTGTGTGCACAAAATGACATCTTCAGCTTCCTCCTTCTGGTGACTGCATCCTGAGACTGTTCCCCTAAAGGCCTGGGGAGAAGCCTCCTCATTTTTCAGCTGTATTTAACAAACCTACTTCTTCAATCAACTCTATAATATACATGTTGAATTTCCAGGCTGCTTTTTCACCTCCAACAGAGTGCTGGGCCCAACAGGTCCCAGTATTTCTGTATGTATGTCTGTTGTTTCTTCATTTCCTGCCAACCTTATTAAAGTCCTGATATTTGTGGCACTCCTTTCCTGTGTGAGTGCTTGTTTAAGTCCCTACCCAGAGCATCTATGAGATAATGTGTTTCAAACACAGTCCCTCTGCTGAAGTGTGTTCACTCGGCTTAATGTGACCAGAACTAACTTCCTAATATCCTTTTTTGTAGTGTCTGGTGTTTAGTTCTGCACAATTTTCAAAATGATAATTATGTTAGAAATCTCCTTATTCAAATCACTGTGGTGAAACCTGAGTGAACACATTCCCCAAATTTCTTCCTTTCTTTCTGCAAAGGTTGTGCTTATTTCCCTTGGCAGAGATTAAATTTAAGGCATGAGAATCAGACTGCCTGAAATAGAATCTGATTCTTTCATTTATTTCTCAATGATGTTGTATAAATTATTCTCTTAGAAACTGCATTTTCCTTGCAGAGTTGTAAAAAATAAATATGTCATTTTATGTGTGGTGCAATTATAGTTCTGTTGAAAGTGGGAAACAAGCAGTTAGGTTTCTTCCCCTGAACTATTTCTTCTGCATCCTCATTGGGTTACAATTACAGAACAGGAGAATGTATAAATTCGGGAGCAATGTATTAAAACATCATTAAGAATCTAACCACAATATTCCTCTTTAACAGAGCAACTTTCCTAAGCATCTTCCATTTCCTGATTTCTTATATTATACATGACTTTGCTTTTGCAATGACCCTCTAAATTACTTCCTTAAATTGTGTCTTCAAGATGAAGGGTAGCACATAGATCATGTCCCACCCTTGTCAAACACACACCGGGAAACACAATGAAATGTATAAGGATTGAGGACAAGAGTTAGAACAAGAGTATTTTTTGTACATTCTCTTAAATTTTCAATATACAAGACTTGCCTGAAATATAAATTACCACATCACCTGCAATCAGGAATCCTGTTTTATTTCCCTTGATATAGAGAAAGAAGGAGGCAGCACAGAACTAACTGATCAGACATGGGTGGCGTGAGGCAGAACTGAGGACATGAGCAGTTCGAGTTCCATGCTGACTGCTGCTGACTGCTGACCAAGTAAACACTGTTCACTACACAGATCACCCTGCTTTCCTCCTTATTAATAAGTTTGTTAACGAGATAATGTTTGCAGTGGACTATAGTGGACTATGAAAATAAAACAGTATGTTGTCTACTGTGATAGCTAAACATTTTCACTGGACAGGTTTGTGTTTTGCTCTCACTGTGCTGTCATTTTTTTCTATTTGCAACAGAATAAAAAGGACAGCTTCAATGAGGCGTAGGTGTCTGATGGTAGAATAAATAAACACTCCCAGCATGCAGGACTATTAAATAATCTCAGTGGGATCTGAAGCACATAAGGAACCACGATAACAATTATCAGGAGACAGAAGAGAGGGTCCAGGGGAATCTCTGTAAATAAGCATAGCTCATAAGGTCAGATGATCTCAGATCTGTCCTTTGACAGCCAATATTATGAGGCTTCCCTCTGTATACCATCTGAGAAAGCTCTCCAAGCAGTTTTGATGCAATAATAATGAAGTTTGTTGTTGGCAAGAAATTAAACAATGGAATAGTGAATTCACAAATGCAATTCTCCCCAGCAAATCCAGAGTAGGAACTAGTTCCTAAACCATAGTGACACCGTCATGAGCTCTGTAATCCTATCTCAACCTAGCATATTTTATTTTTCACTCTTCATTTTTAACTTACAATCCTTAAAAAATTATTATTTTCTTAAACCTTCATCTGATAAAGCTGGCTTTGGGCAAATTAAAATAACACCCTCATATATATGCCTCTCTCTCTCTCTCTCTCTCTCTCTCTCTCTCTCTCTCTCTCTCTCTCTCTCTCTCTCTCTCTCGTGTGTGTGTGTGTGTGTGTGTGTGTGTGTGTGTGTGTTTCTGTGAATTCAGGTGTCCATGGAGACCAGAAAAGATGTTAGATTTCCTGAACCTGGAATTACAGAGGGTTATGAACTATCCAGCTTAGTTGCTGGGAACTGAAATGGGGTCCTCTATGAGAGCAGCAAGTGTTGCTAACCATTGAGTTATTTTTGCAGCCCGCCAAAATCACAAATTTGAGGAGGTTAAGTTGGACTACATAGTGTACATGTACATTAAAAAATAAATGAAACACAATGACTTAGTTATTTTCCTATTTCCCTGACAAGACACAGTGACCAAGACAACTTAGAGAAGGGATGGTGGTGGCTAACATTTTCAGTCATGTAGGGGAGCATGATAGCATGAAGGTATGGTGCTTGAGGAGTATCTAGGAGCTCACATCTTGAGACAGGATCAGAAGACAGCAATAACTGGGAATGGTGAGATCTTCTAAAACCAAAGGCTTTTCCCCAGTGACATTCCTCCTCCAGCAAGGCCTCATGAGCCAATCCTTCCCAAACACTTATATATATGGCAAAGTTGAAGAGAATGGTGATGAATAATAATTAAAAACCCATTTAGAATGTAATACTGGGAGGTGGGGGAAAGAAAACACTCCCTGTAGTGAACTTCCTGACAGTATTTGAGGACAAACAGGGATTAGTGCAGGAGAGGGCCTTTCCAGAGACTTGTCAGGATGAATGAAGCTTAAACTACTTCACAAAATTGGGAAATAATTTAGTGTATGGAACCAAGGTTGCTTAGCTCTTTCATGGTATCTTCTACAGGTCAGAGCAACCTCCTGGCTGAGAAGGTAAGCCATAGAATGAAACAGCCCTGGGTTCTCATCCTGCTGCTGTTCTTTTTTTTTTTTTTTTCCAACACAATCCCCATCAAGACACAATGTTTGAGCCTCACAATACAGTATTTAGAGTTGGAGTTAGAATCACTTGGAGACTGAGGCAAACTTGGGTACCCACAGGACAGATATTCAGACATGATTAAAGAAAGCACAGAGGCCCAGCCCAAGTGTGAATGTTTTAATCCCATGACTTGGGGTCTTGGGTATAATAAAGGAAGAAGAAAGTGATTAGAGAGCTTGCATAAACTCCTCTCTTCTTCTAGGTCTGCTGAATTCATGTTAGCACAGCATCCAAGCTTCAATACAGTTATTTCTGTCTATGCTTAATGAGGTTTTTATAGCAATGATTCAAAATTTGATGTGAAAAATACATAGTTTGGTAAAAAAAAAAAAGGAGGGGGGAATGGAGACTGAGTTTCAAATTGTTGACAAAACATATCAGACAGCAATTGTTAAAATTTAATTAAATTTTCTTTTAAAGAAACCAGAGGTACTGCACCAGTACGATAAGATAGGTGCTGTGTGGCAAAATGCCAATTATTTATGCTCCACAGTGCAATGATATTTCCAGTCATTTCATTTGAAAAGAGAATACCAAACCAAAGGGAAGCTCTAAGACACTGTGCTGGAATGGGGATGTCTAAGGAATTGTTTCTACAGTTCAAGTAGATAAGTTCTGTGGGAAGTCACTGTCTCTGAAGTCTAGGAGACACCCTGGGTTGGCAGAAACAGTGCCTTTATCTACTTTGTGACATTTTATTAACAAGAAAAATGTTAGAGTGAGGGCTCACAGACACTTGCACCGAAGTTCCAGAAAGCCACAGAGACCATGCAGCATGTAGCAAGGTCCTGAGTGGGCTGGATTCAAAGCTGTGAAAATGAAGACTGAGCTGTAATGAGTATACAGGAAACTGACAAGACCTGAAACTTAGAATGCTCATCTAAAAAAAGTTGTGTCCACTGAGGAGCTATCCCTGGAGAGAGGTACCAAGTGCTGCAGGCAACAGAACTGGTAGAGGATTGGGAATACCTGTGAAGCACTACATACCCTTCCCACCAGGTTTGGTCTTATTAGTTTCTCTTTTGTTGCCGGTGGTTTCTTTACCACCAGCCTGGTTCTACTGCCACCTTCTTTAGCCCTGAATAAACACACAGAGGTTATATAAATTATAAAACTGTTGGCCTGTGGCTTGGGCTTCATATTGACTAGCTCTGTCTTAAATATTAACTCATTTCTATTAATCTATGTTTTTCCATGTGATCCTGGCTTACCAGAGAATGCCTGGGGCATCCTCTCTTCCTGGACTCTACATGAAGACTCCTCTGGTGGGCGCTCTGTCTACCTTTCCCAGAAGTCTCCTTATCCTAGTCCCACCTATCTTCCTGCCTCAAGACCTCCTGAGCAAATTGGGAGCACAGGTAGAGGAGAGAGGGAGTTAGAATTTAAAAAAATAGGAGAAGAGGAGGGGAAGGAGGACATGAAGGAGCAGGAAGATTGAGTCAGGGGAAGAATAGAGAAGAGCAATAAAAGAGATACCTTATTAGAGGGAGCCATTATAGGTTTAAAGAGAACCTATAGACAATAGGGAAATATTCAGAGAGCTTACAAGGATGACCCCAACAAAGAATCTAAGCAGTAGTGGAGAGGCTATGTGAAATACCCTTCCCCTATAATGACATTGATGACTACCTTATATGCCATCCTAGAGCCTTCATCCAGTAGCTTATATAAGCAGAAACAGAGACCCACAGCCTTATTAGCACTGAGCCAAACTCATGGAATCCAGTTGTAGAGAGGAAGGCATGATTCTAAAATCATGACCAGGCTGGGGAAACCCACAGAAACAGCTGACCTGAAGAAGGGGGAGCTCACGGACCCCAGACTGACAACTGGGAAACCACCATATGACCTCCCTGAGCATGGATGTCAGGAGGCTGGGCAGTCTATGGGGCCTCTGGTAGTGGAACAGTATTTATCCCTTGTGTACAGAATGGAATTTGGGAGCCCATTACACACAGAGGGAAACTCCATCAGCCTAAACACATAGGGGAGGTCCTAGGCCCTGAGCCAAATGATGTGACAGACATTTATGATTCCCTGTTGAAGGCCTCACTCTTTATATGGAGCAGAAGAGAGATGGGATCGGGATTATTGCGGGGCATGGGAGGATGGGAGGGAGAGGGAACTGGGATTGATGTGTAAAATAAGATTGTTTCTAATTTAAATAAAATGAAAAGAAAAATGAAACAGTGGGCTTAGAGCAACATTGAAGTAACTTGGACAACTGAAAAAGCCTAGTTGATTTAGCCACTTAAAGTTCACCAAACCATTCTTCAAGATCTGACTCAATGAGTTTACTGAGTCTAGTTCTTATCCCTCTCCATCAATTTACAGCAAAGGAATTACCATCAACCCCATGGGGAAGGAACTCACATGAGCAAAGAATTAGTAACTTTATTTTTGGATGCAAAATTTAGCTGCACACAGGCTATTTTTAGAGCAGATTCATAAATCTAAGTATTGGATTTATGTTTTATAAATCTTTTGTTTCACTAAGAACCTTTCTCTTTGTGCATTGTACAATGAACTTGTCTGTATTTGAACACATTACTTTACGGAACCTAGTTGCCAATCTTAGCTATAGACACATTATGCTGGCACTAGCATGTATACTTTTAGATACACAATTTCAAAGACTGCCTCACTTCCAACCCCTATGTAAAGTTGCAATTTGAAAGTCAAGATAAAAATCCCTTGGGATGAACAACAGAATTCTGTGTCAAATATGTTTTAATCATTTTGCCAGCCAGTTGTTTCTTTCTTATAAAGAAATGTGCTATGCTTTATCCATTTATTTATTTGTTTGTTTACTTGTTTTCTGAGACAGTTTTTTGCTGTGTAGACTTGGCTGTTCTGGAATTTGAGTTGTAGAACAGGCAGGCCTCAAAATCACAAATATCCTTCTGCCTCTCTTTCTACCAAGTGCTGGTCTTAAAGGGATGCACAAACAAAAACCAGCTGAATTTTTTAGTTGTTTTAGTTTGTGTGTGTGTGTGTGTGTGTGTGTGTGTGTGTATGTGTGCCTTATTTTTTGAGGTAACTAGGTTGTACTGATCACTTTGCAATACACCTGGCATATTTCTTCCTGCTTATTTGCTTTGTAGGCCCTTTAATAAAACCTACATACCCATAAAACAAGCAGCTTCAATTTAAATAGTAACACTGAATCTGATTATATTCTACAAGTCAAATCTTCACTTGATGCATATATATATATATGAGGATTTATGTGGTTGTTGATCAAAAGTATAATCACATATATTTTGATGACTGAAAATTTAAATTATGCCATCATACATTTGCAGTAAATATTTCAGATTAATTCACTATGAAGATAGTGAATACTAGAAACAGAGGTGGACACTTATAGGCAAGCACTCTATGTTGCCATAATAAACATACAAAGGAATGTATGTTGCAGTCTATGCATCACCTTTTCAGTAGACCTTAAGTTTTAGCCCCGAAGGATGAACTCACTTTAAGAAAAATATTAAGCAAAGGACTAGGAATATATATCAGTTGCTAGTAGGCTCTGGATTTGTTATAAAGCATCATATAAACTGAGTAATGGCCCATAGCTACAATGTATCTCAGTACTTAGGAAAGCAATGCAGAGGGATCAGGAATTCATTTTTGAAATTTGTAAGACAAGTCTTTTAAAAAGTGTTGACATTAATGGAAAGAACTTTTCCATATAAACGGAGGGAATCTAACTCAAAGACTTGAGAAAGTAAGGACTTAAACACAGTGTTTGAATGACTAATAAAAATACAAAACTAATATTGGGTTAGAGTACTAGAAAAAACAAAATTATTTGGTGGTTTGTTTTCTCAGAATAGACAACAGTCACCTTAATGTAAGAAACATTCCTGTGCCCTGGTTACTACTTTGCTGACAATATATGGTTTGCTTAGACATCCAGAGTTTCATCTGTCTCTAATAGTTGCAAAGTGCAAGCAGAATCTTGACAGAAGATAAGTATATAATTTATACATAAATGAATCTTTCTATGATATGCTCTTCTTTAAATTTACATCATTATTCTGTCCCATTCTTTGTCTTTTCTACCCTCTGTTTCTGTTTATACTCTTTTCCTTTTTTTCTTCTCTTCCATATTTCTCTTTTGTACAACAGTGTGTTTATCTATCACCTATCCATATCCATATCTACTATCCAGCAATTATCTAATCTAATTAGATAATCTAATCTAATCATCAATCAACTTGATTATCTATCATCTATATGCCATTGATCATCCATCTATAGGTGAATCCATATATTAATTCATTCATCAATTGTTCATTTGCAAAGTAGTATAAATACATTATTCAATTTGAGATTTTGATTACAGTAAATTGAAAATTAGCTTAGAATCAATCCTTAAGTGTAAAAGAAACGTGTCAGGAATTATTTGTTTCTGCAAACTTTTTATGACAGTTAAGTGAACCGAAGAGCTAGTGGATGGTTCAAAATAGAAGCAGTTTTTTTTCATTGCTTTGTTTTGTTGTTTTTGTATACTTTGATGATAGTATAAAAGCACACAGTGAAACACATGCCAACTTGAATCATACTGCACTTGAGGTTACTGAATAGATTCTTTAAAATTTGATGTTGGGGAACAAATGAATGTAATGACTTTATTCAACTTTTAGTACTAAACCTCATTAAGTGCACTACTGATAGGGAACCAACATAGACTCTTTGAGGCAAGTGAGCTTGGGAAAATAGCTCAGCAATCTGGGACTACACTTGACTTGGGCTATGTGCATACCAATCTTCTAGCAGATCACATAGCAATGTGTTGGCAATCAAGGATGTCCATCTTCATGGAACTTTGTGTACATACTATAACCACTGGAACAAGATTCTCCTACCACTGACAATCATCAAATGTAGTTTCAGTTCACCACTATTCTAGTTATATCTGAGTAGAGAGGGAAATCTAGCCTGAATTGTTGTGAGTACATTTATAATGAACCAAACCATGAACTTTTAGTGATAATCTTTTATTTACCATTGTATTGTGTGTCTATGCGTAATTGGATGTGAACACTTCTTACCACTAGGTTTCTTTGTCAAGTATTTTGTTACAGCACCAAGAAAAGTAACTGCATATCTACAAAACAATGACCATAAGCCCTCTCTTCATCCCTCTGTGAAACTTGTGTGGGGAATTCCAACCATCTGCGTGTTTTCTCTCCAGGTATTAAAAGGGACTGTGGAAAGTGCACTTAGAGAGTTTCAGAAGGGAAAACTAGGAAGGTCTAGAATCCCATCCTCTAACGAGGTTGAGACAGGAGGATTTCATATTCCAGGTCAGGTTAGGATACAGGGCATCAATGTTAGCCTGTCCAACTGAGAAAGAACTCATGCCCTAATGAAACATAAGGTACTAAAAGAGAGGTGAGTACATCTCAGTGGTGAGTGCTTGACTGACATGTGTGAGCGCCTGAGTTCAGTCTCCAGGTCTGTGAAAAATAGAGGCCAAAGGTTGAGTAAAAACAAAACAAAACAAAACAAAACAAAACAAAACAAAATGCCCTCTGGAAGTCTTACATGTACTATTAATACATAACTATATCAAATTAAATGAATCCATAATTAACTATCATTTTCTACCCATAGATAACATTCTAAAGTAAAACTTACAGCTGAGGTAATATATCATAGTCTGTTGTTCTTTTTTTCTAGCATTTCTTCTGTCACTGACAACCCTTCCCCTCACACAACAACCCTTTCATTTAAGATTCTCAGGCAGTTTCTGAAGCCTCCTTTTCCTCTGTCCAAGGGTTCCTTTGGAAATGGCGAAGAAGAAAGCAGAAGATGAAGTGGGAACTAGGACCTGCAGGTAGCACTTTGTATGAGAAAGGAGTGGAGATGGCCCTCCTGTGAGTCTGGGGCACAGTGTGTGTGTGTGTGTGTGTGTGTGTGTGTGTGTGTGTGTGTGTGTGAGAGAGAGAGAGAGAGAGAGAGAGAGAGAGAGAGAGAGAGAGACAGAGAGAGAGAGAGAGAGACAGAGACAGAGACAGAGACAGAGACACAGAGAGAGACAGAGAGAAAGAGAGACAGAGACAGAGACAGAGACAGAGATTTGGTATCTGGTCTAGATGTTTTTTGGAATTAGAGCATTTCCAACACAGCAACAGAAAGCTGAGGGAATGGTGGGCTTCACTGTCTCTCTCCTGATCTGGGTGTGAAGCATTTTAGTATTCCTCATTTCAATAAAGTTCTGCTATATGGTACAGGTTCATCTCTTATTATCAAGTAGCTTTCTTGTTAAATAACTATCTGTAAGCTCATGTTTATTATTTAGCCTTGAAGTTTAATTAAGGATTTTTAATTTTGTGAAATATCATTACTCAGCCTATATGGTCAAACACTTTCTCTGCATCTATACAAAAAATAAAGACTTCATTTAATCATTATTTTCAATTATCCATGTGCTTGGACTTGCATTTAATGATTTACAGTAGTTAATTTGCTCTTGGCATTAATTAGATATTTACCCTCAAATTACTACCTGATATTTTGCTGCTAAGTATTTTAGATCATTATCTTTACTGTGATTCTTGACATGAATTTGCATGTTGTCTGCACTATTTAATCAATACACATGTTTAATAATATTTGGGTTTAATTATGTAATAATTTCAATTATTTATAACTTCTTTGGAGAAATTTTGGTACCCATTTTGTACATAGTTATTAATCATGTTAATATACACTATCATTTTTAAGGTATTTTTAAATAGCTGGTGTTTTCTCCGCGTTTTAGTAGTTTTCATGGTTTTTTGATGGCAAATGTACTCACTATCTGTTACTTATATAAGTGGAATTTCATTGGAGTTTAGTGTGTCTAAAGTGCAGCAGGTTTCTCATATCACTCAGTTTTAAAGCAGAGCATCTTTTATCATCACAGTTCAAGGTTAGCATGTCATAAAATTTGTCTGAGATTAATTGCAGGAGGTGGGTTAAAGTCAACCATAATTAGTATGCATATTATCTTTGTAAGCTTTTCAGTAAGTATCATTCTATTTAATAGGCTCTAAATAAGAATTCCCAGGAACTGAAAGACCCCAGGAGGCTCAGGCCCCCAGGATCTCAGTCCAGGACTGTGATGACCCCAATCACCAGGCAGAGTCAAAAGCTTGATGCAAACAGCAAGAGGCTTTATTTTAGTTGTTTAACGAAGTAACCCCACATTAGCTCGGGCCTTTCACCCACCCATCATGGCAGATGGCTAGAAAAGACACTGCGAAGCCACAGCATAGAGATCTTATAGGGAAGCATAAGGTGGGTGTCTAGGGGTCAGGACAGGCTCAGGATTGGTATGCCTCCAGGCTAGAGGGTTTGCCCTGTGTTGATTGGTCAACTGGTTGTTATGGCACATAGGCTCTCCCAGGGCGGTTGCTATGCTCTTCACATCATTGCTGTGCACTTGCCCATAAATCACACCCAGAGCCGTAAAGCGTAGCACTACCAGCTAACTTCTGATTGGTTCCTTGCCATAAGGCAGGTATCTGACCTCCTAGTGACCAAGGCAAGGTCAGGCAAGCACATGCTAGGCTGTTATGGCTGCTGAAATGGGGAGCTGGTCCCTTCAAAACCATCCTTAATACCTTTCTCCAAGCCCCTGCTACACTGAGCACACCACTGGAAATGTTCCAAAGTTTTGTCTCAATCGCATTCACAAATCTCCATTTCCTTATCTTCCCTCCATCACCCAAGAATCTTCTCTTACTTTGTCCTTTACATGATACTAATGGCTAACTTTTCTACTCTGCTCAAAGCCAGAAGTGTGATTAAATATTAACACCCTTGTAACTACATCATAACTACATTAAAGTCATGATTATTACAAATGTGGGCTCCTTAAACTGTGGATGGATTTTTTTAAATAAAAGATTGTTATAAATTTCAGATTACTCATGCAGTCACCACCTCTCAAACAGTCTTAGTCATCTACCTCCTCTATCTTTTTCTCCACACACCCTGTATCTTTATATTCCTAACAGCACAATCTATCCCCATCTCCCAGCTCTTTCTATCCTGATCTCTCATCCTTCTCTACCTGCATTTGCTGGCCCACACTTCCTCTTTTCCTTCTCTCTGCTGCTATCATTGAGCACCCACCCATGGTGGACCTCACCTCAGATCCAAGGCAGGGATGACAGAAAACCAGGAATGTAAATCTTTGTAACCAGGATCCAAAAGGAACCTCTTCTCCTTTAATGTGATTTGATCCAATATCCCAAAGACTCTGAGCTATGGGTTCCTCCTATTTCTGGCATAGTGCTCCCGGGGAAATAGATTAGGACCTACCTATATCTTTGAAATCATTCAAGACTGCTGAATGTGGACATGCAGAAGCCATGGGAATCTACTCACATGAAATATTCTTATGATGCTGCCACTATATTAATATTGTATATGTTAAAATTGAAAATTTACATGTGAGTCAAAATTACTCAACTAACAATTATGTAGCCCATCAAAAATCATTACTGTGTTAACTCCATGTTTTATTGCTGTGAGGAGACAACATGACTATAGAAGAAAACATTTAATTGGGAGCCTCCTTACCGTTTCCCAGGATGATTCCATTATCACCATGGCAGGGAGTGTGGTGGCAGGTAGACATGGCATCAGAGCAGTAGCTGAAAGCTTATATTCTGATCTAAAGGCAGGAGGAAGATAAAGAAAGCAAGACCTGGCCTGGAGCCAGCTTTGAAACCTCAAACACACCTGTCCTCCTATAGAAGGAATGACAGGTCTTCTCCAAAAAGACCAAACATCCTAATCTTTCCTAAACAGTCCATGAACTGGGAATCACACATTCAAACATATGAGCCTATGAGATATTTTTTTTAATTCTAATCATCACAGTTCCCTAATTCAATAGTATTTCTGTTTTTTTATTAATGCATATGCCTTTATTTTATTAAAGGAACATAAATTATAGAAGAAAAGTAAAAGCAGATATAAGAAAAAGCTGAAATATAATGTAATTATAAAATATGCATTTGAAAAACATATATGTGTGCCTGTTGTTGCTGTAAGGATGTCTAGTGAATGGAAGGGTATAAGGACATCAACACTTTCAGTCAGAGATTAGGTATGCTACCTTAGTATGTGTGTATCTGTCCCCCCAAATCTGTTTTCTACCAAATACCTTCAGTGACAACATGTTTGGTGATATTCAGTGAAAATTAAATAAGGTAATAAATGTGAAAATGTATTTCTTAATGTAATTGGCTTGCAAACCATAGATTTTAAAAACTATCATTGTTTATTATTATCATAAGGAAATGCTTGATAAGGTAGGTAGGAGTTTAAATTCTGATGAGGGTTTATCACCCTATCTCTATGACACTTTTCAAAGATTGTCAATCTCCTTAGTAAGCAGTAGACATGTGCTTTGCCTTTTCAAAGAGAATTTGAATTTTGCTGGCACTATATTGTCTAGAATCATAATCATATAAGTGAAGGCTGAAGTAAGCTGTATGTTGTATTTTCTTTCTGCACCACCTTCTAAATCGGAGAGTAAAGGGAAAACACAATGAGAGTTATTCTGCTGTATTTTCCTTTCATAGTGTGGAGTTTATTAACACTGATTCCCTGAGATTATACAATACTTTTCTGCAGCAAATCTGGTGAAAGAGAACAAACCATATTTTCCATGTCTGCCAATGCTTATTTACCTTTGGAAAGAGAAAAAGCCAAACAAATGTGTCAAATCTCAGGGGCACTATCTATTTTTCTTATTCATTGAACAAATTTCTTTCTTGGTCTCTTCTTACAGACTACAGACATCACAGGATTTCTACTACAGTTTTCTCATTTCTACTCCAAAAAATGGTGTCAAAGGCCATACCTTGAGTTCAGCTGTCAATGTCCCAATCACAAATTAATGCTCACTGTTTCAACCTCAGTCTGACCCCTGCTGCCCCAGCCATTTGATTGAGCTTCCTTCCCTATAATATTTGAATCTTGTTACATCAGATTTTCTGTATCTGTATTTTATTTCCTTTACTTAGGGTGGCTCCTCTACTTCCTTAACACAAAGAATATAATCCACAGAACTTAGCCCAAATTTTAAGATCCTAATTGTTAACACTCAGCAAACACTCTATTTTTAAAATAAATCACAAAAAGCAGTATTTTGTAATATGTAAAGACAGCTCTTAAATTCACCTACACAAATAAGAAAATTTACATTGAGTGCTCTAAGCAATAAAATGTAAAAAAAAAAAAACTTAAAGAATTTATAGTGGCATGACTCCCAACATTCAACTGTCTTGACACTGTCTAATTATAATATATAATTATTTAGACATTGTCTAAATATAATATATATAATATAAAAATATATAATATAATATATATACTCATCTAAATGCTTTCTCAGTCATTCATGGGAATATTAAAGAAGATAATAAGTGACAGTGTACACAATTTGATGTTTTATTACTGTCAGTGTAACTAGGTTGGGACTTACCTAGCATGCACACTTCTGAGGATAGCTGTAAGAACAACTTCAGGTGTAACTGAGAAGGGAAGATCTACTCTGAACATCACAAACTTTGCCTCACATGCTATACCTCAGACTGAATAAAAATGAAGAATGGAGGAAGCCACAAGAGCCCCAACCATTATCATATCTGTGTATCATATTTTTGTCACAACTTTCTTATTATTTACCTAATGTTTCTATTTATAATGATCATAATTAATCCATTTCTTATCTGCTTGTATTTCAAGTCTTTGCCTGCCACAGCAACAGTGTTGAGGATATGATCTTTTTGCACTTAGAACAGTGATGCATCAAATTTTCTAATATACATATTTAATAAAAGTAAATATTGAATGGAATACATCACCCAGTACCACTTTAAACATTCTGTTAATATGTGTGAATTACTTTATGTCCCAACAAATTTCCACAAACTTTGTGCTTAAACAAAAGACATTTATTTTCCTACAATACTAGGAGACTGAGGACTGTTGTATTGGGTTCCTATGAAAATTTAAACTCCATGATTTAAGTACACAGCTACCTTTCCTTGGGTCTTAGTCTCAGCTTCCCTCTGATTGTTTATTACTAACATCATCTCATCTTGTAATGCCACAGCCATACTGTATCAGAGTTACAATAGTGTCTTCATTTTCATTTAATGACTCTACTTACTACCAATAGAGTTGAATAGAAGTATCTTCTGGCAGGGCGTAGAGGATTTCTGTCCAGGGTGTGAATAGAGCTTCCACTTGCTCCACCCCTTTTTGATATCTAGTTCTTTGACAGTTTCATGCATGTGAGTAATTTCTTTGTTTGCTCACTCTTGCCATCCTTTCTCCTCTTCTTCTCACACCTATCAATCAACCCCCAACCTCTCCCCTTCTCAGATTCATGACTTTGGCATTTGTTGTGTAGCCCACTTGACTTAATCAGGCCATTTGTTAACTGAGTTTGAAATTTATTTCCTTCCACACAGAGAAGAGTCTGTTGTTCATATCAAGCCCATCCTCTTATAGGATGAACGACAGAGGTCTTCTTGTAGATTGTCTTGTTCCCCACTTTCCCTGTCAACCAATGTGATACCATCATTTCTTCTCTGAATCCTTGTAATCCTCAGCTGAACCTCTTAAGACTGTCTCTCACAAAAGAAACATTTCATTTAGATGTGAAGAAAACCCATTTTGAAGACATTTTATTGAACACTAGCAATATGATTACACAATTGTTTTCCATTCAAAGAAAACTTGCTAAGGTAATGCTCTAGTAACTTTTCCATGGAGAATAACTAAATGATGTGGGGAATTCTGAAATAAAAGGAATAATGAGGACAAAGAAGGAAAACAGCCATTTCACACTCTTTTCAGAGTAACAAGCTGATAATCAGTGTGTGCAGACTTGAAAACAAGTCTGGAAACCTGGGTTTAAACACAGAAATCCACTTCAAGGTGAAAGGAAGCCCACATAGTAGTCCTGTGACCACCACAGCACATACATCATGCACACACAGACATATAGTAAACACAGAAAGTAGTGAAAAAGCTAGAGAGATATCTACTGAGAGCATGATAAATATGGTTGATAAAAATATGCTATATTTTAAAAGTTGTGAGATAGTATACTTTAAGTGTTCTCAAAACAAAAATGATGAATATGTGTGATATAACATGTTTATTGGTTTAATTTAGCCATGCCCTTGTGAATATACTGTATTGTGTATCATAATTGTGCATGACTTTATTTATGAGCTAAATAAATGAATGGAAAAAAATAAATATTGAAAGTTGTAAAAAAAAGCTAGAGAGATAAAAAAATTAACACAATGAAAGAAATATTTAAATTGTGATATTTTAAATCACTTAATCCTTTTTGTTATGTTTTAGTTTGGTTTGAATTTCTTTAGAGAGGATGTCCCTATGTAACAGTCCTGAATGTCCTAGAACTCACTTTGTATATCAGGTTAGCCTTGAACTCACAAAGATCTGCATGCATATACCTCCTGAGTGCTGGGATGAAGGTGTGCCCCACTGTGCTCAGTTTACTTGTCCTTAAATGATATCAGTTTGTCAGTATAATCCTTAAAGCTTTAAGTAAAAGGTGTCACAGCTGACATGTTTAATATCATCTTTGCAACTGAACTAAAGAAGTGTTTAGCTAAACTGTTTTTCTATCAGAAGTCAGTAGCAGAAATAGTTAATCCTTTTTGTTTTGGGAACCATAATCCTCTCTTTTCAATGTTATTTCTTCAAATAAATAATGTGGGTTATAGATGCTGGATCATACAGTGAATATATGATCATCTTTAAAGGATACTTCTGAATATTTAATAATTGATTGCTAATTTTAAGCTTCCAGTAGTCATGTATGAAAATTAAGTTCTAAACCATCTCTGCTATGGTCATATTAGGATTATACTTATAGTCATTCTTGTACAGTGTATTGCTATTACATTATAATTCTTGTTTACTAGAGATTAATAAAATTAAGCTTTTTAATTAATATATTATTGATTTGATATTGGAAGTGCCGTTTTACGGTGTTTTTCCAATGGGATTTTCACATGCACACACACACTCACACACTTTAGGATTTCACAGCAACCAACAATGGATATAAAACTGCTTTTAATAATCATATGATAAGTATAAGCCCATCTTTGCATATTTCTGTGTCATTGTCCATCCAGCTTAAGAGTGAGTAATCTTATGCAAACACACATTGACAGGAATGCAAAAAAATTAGTCACAATGACTTGGACTCTTCTAGAAAGTCTGACATTCATACCACAATGGGTTCAAAGCTAATTTGGCAGATAAAATCACCAGTACAGAAGTAACTGCAGATCTGTCTCAAACTTGACATGTTTGTTTTATGTATTTGTTTAGTTGGCTGGATGGTTGTTCATTGATGTCATTGAATCAGTAACAAAGCCTTATTGACTCCATGAACTCTATCTGAGAAACAACATACAAGGATCCTCTCTAGGTTGTAATAAGGGTTGTGTGTGCCCATGTCTTCTGCATTTCCTCTCCGTAGAAATTCAAGCTTTCACTTTGAAGAAAGAAGACATAAGAGGGGTGAGAGAGGCAAACTTCTACCTCTTATCTTTTTCCCACACCACCCATATTTTATGTAACACTTTAGGATTTCAAAAGGAAAGCCAGGAAGGTACTTAAATTTTCTTTCTGCCAAATCTCTTTTCATGGATTAGATGTGTGCTTGAGTAGAAAAATAAATGATGAGATAAAAATCTCAGGAAAACAGCATTGTTTCAAATATATTATCTTTATGAAATGGTCAGCATAATATAAAAGTTTAATTTTCTAAAAAAACATATTTTTAATTTTTCTCCCTCATCTTCTATTATTAATTAATGATTTTATTCATATTTTACATACCAAGCCCAGTTACCCCCCCTCCTCCCCTTCCACCTACCTAACTCTCCATATGCTGCTCTGAGAGGACAAGGCCATCAGTAGGAAGTCAAAAAATTCTGTCCCATCACCATGTTGAGGCAGAACCAAGACCATCCCTCCATATCAAATTAAGCAACGTATCTCTACACAGGAAATGGGCTTCAAAAATCCTGTTCATACACTAGGGATAGACCTTGGTCTACCCGCCAGTGGCCCCACAAACTACCCAAGCTATCCACTGTCACCAGCATTCAGGAGGCCTAGTTTGGTCCTATGCAAATTCTCCAACTGTCCGTCCAGAGTCAATAAGCTTCTACTAATTCAGGTCAGCTATTTATTTGAGTTTCCACATCATGGTCTTGCTCCCTTTGCTCATATCATTGCTCCTCTGTCTCTTTGATGGTACTCTAGGAGCTTGGCCCGGTGCTTGGCTGTGGATCTCTTTGTTTGCTTCAATCAATTACTAGATGAAGGTTCTGTGCTCACAATTATAGTAGTCCTCAATCTGATTACAGGGCAATGCCAGTTCAGGCACCATCTTCACTCCTGCTTAGAGTTTTATATGGAGTTATCCTTGTGCATCCCTGGGGATTTCCTTTGTGCCAGGTTTTTGTTAACCTGATAATGGCCATCTCTATCATGGTATTTCCTTCCTTTCTCTCCCTCTCTGTTCTTCTCCCAACTCAGTCATCCCATTCCTTCATGTTCTCCTCCACTCTCCTCTTCTCTCCTTCTCTCTCCCCTTCCACCATCCCTCCCAAGCTCCCAATTTACTCAGGATATCTTGTCTATTTCCCCTTCCTATGGGTAATCCATTTATGTTTTACCTAGTTTCTTTGTTACCTAGCTTCTCTGGGGTTGTGGACTGTATTCTAGTTAACATTTGCTTTATGTCTAATATCCACTTACAAGTGAGTACATACAGATTTTGTCCTTCTGGGACTCAATTACCTCTCTCTGGATATTTTTTTTTTCTAATTTTGCGCAGCTGCCTGTAAATTTCAAGCTGTAATTTCAGAAAACTTTGTTTGAACTTTCAAGACAGGGTTTCTCTGTGTAGCTTTTGAACCTGTAGCTCTTATAGACCAGGCTGGTCTTGAACTAACAGAGATTCACTTGCCTCTGCCTCCCAAATGCTGTGACTAATAGTGTGTACCACCACTGCCTTGCCCAAAAAACTTCTTAACATTAACTGTAATTCTAAAAGACCTTCAAAGGGATCTGAAGGAATAAATATAGCAAAACTGCAGTCTGATTGACATCACTAAGGAAGAAGGAACAGATCAAGCTGATGGTCAACAGGAATCTTTGTTCCCTGCTTGGAAACTCAGAGGACGTCATGGATGAAACTGCCTTTCTTAGCTTCCCAAGGCTCCCGGCTGGTACAAAATCCCCACTCTCCTGCTTCGGGTCATGGGATCATAGAGATAAAAACTGTCTCAGGGGCTCTACCTTAACTGAGTTCTTTGGTCTTTGTATTTCAGAAGCCAGAGGAGATATATACAGGTAACCATGAGCAGTGATGTGAAGACTCAAATAATTTCTGTACTCTTTCTCACTAGTCAACCATTATGGAATGTGAGTTCCTAGGTAGAGGCAATTTCTTTATGTATTGTTTCTTAATATTGCACAGGAGGAAATATTTATGTTGTTGCATGGACACTAAGTACATGATGAATCTTCATGTGTTTGAGTAAGTGTGCTATCCTTATTTACATTATTAGTAGTAATATGAAGCATGTTGAATGGATAAATAGCCAACTTCTTAAAGATCATGTGTTCACAGAAAAGAATGCTATCAGCAGAGATAATAGTGCCTTTTAACTTGAAGTTTAAAAGGAAAATTATCAAATATTATTACTTAACAGCCAATTAGTAATAAGCCTGAGCTATTGGCCTAGTATTCATAATTAATATTGTGTCTCTGTGTCAGGTATTTGAAAACTGGCAGGCAGGAAGGAAAAGTCTGCCTACATTTTAATTATTGTTTTCTTATTGTATTAAGTATATTTTGCATGTATGAAATGTTTCACACACACACACACACACACATATATATATATATATATATATATATATATATATAAAGTAATCATTATAATTATACTCTCTAGTATGCTGAGTGATTCAATTTTACCTATATTTATATACATTAATTTCAGGTTAGCATGAAAATGACATAGTAATTGAGATAATTTAATTTGCTTTCTGACAATGCTAGAGGCTGGGAGTTCACAGCCAGGGGATTACACTGACAGGAACTGGACTAATCTGTCTCACTACTATTCCCATAGATGTCTCCTTACTCATTACACATATACTTTTATTGCCATTTGCTTATAAATCAAGCAGAGCTCTCTCTCTCTCTCTCTCTCTCTCTCTCTCTCTCTCTCTCTAGCAAAGTCTCATATAGTCCAGATTGACCTCCAATTTGTTATATAGTACAAACTGACCTTGAGCTCCTGTCCCTTATCTCCTCTATCCAATAGCTAGGATGACAAATATGTGCCCCCAAACACAACTCATAGTTAATATTCAGAAAGAAGTAAGTGTAGTGGCCCGGCATGTCTCAATCTCAGACCACACAAGCCACGAGGTCCTGCCTGAGTGGGGGAGCATGGACTTGGAAATTCCTAGCAACCCAATGGTGATAAAGACCAGACACAGACATCTCGTCATCTCTAGAGAGCTCTCAGTTCCATGCTACAAAATTGAAATCTCTCCTTTATTCAGCATCTTCCTGGCTGCTTTCTAAGTGTTCTTCCCTGACCCTGAGGCCATTTCTCTTCCATCTCCCTAGACTCTATCAGCAGATCTCTCTCATGGGGAATGTACTGTGTATGTTTATCTTATTGATTGTTAAATAAAATACTGTTTGGCCAATGAGACAGCAAGTAGACAGGACTAGGAGTCAAAGAGGATTTTGGAAAATGTAGTAGAGAAGTGGTGATCCAGGCAGGAAGTGACATAGCAAGGAGACTCATATTTAAGTCCAGGAGAAACAGGAAGGGTCCCTCTTTTCCCCTCCGTTCCTGATCTGCTGGGAAGGAGGGACGCCAATAAGGTGTCCAATAAGATGTCTTATAAAATACATAGGTTTATGATAGTTAAGACTTAGCTAGCAGATGAGAAGTCCTAGTCATTGGCCAAGCAGCTTTGAACATAATACAAGTTTCTGTGTATTCATTTGGGCCCTAACTCAGGCGGGCAACTGGCATAAAGCTCACAAGTGGTGGTGGGGCTCAAGCAGCTTTTGGCGGAAAGATTTATCCTAACATCTCTCAACCATCCCTCCTCCTCTTGATGTCTCCACAAATACCACCTAACACTCTATCCTCATTCATCACATAAACCTAGCCCTCTGCCCTGGTGCAGGCCTATTCAAATGCTTAGTTCTGTAGAGATGCAAATCTGGGGGACATTTTCCATTGAGGCTATGCCATTCAACAGCAAATCAGCTAGCATCTGCAATACAATGCAGAGCAGAGCTCTGGAGGTTAGGACCCTGAGAAATTCTCTAATAGAATCAGTTCTCCACTCCCAACAAGTAAACTAGTTTATAATTGTTTCAAAGAAGAAGTTAGTATATCATCCCCTTGTATTCATCCTTGTCTATTAAAATATAACACCACATAAAAGGTCAGCGATCAGATTCATTTTTGAAGCTACATGTTAAAATTTATTCTGTGGTCAGGCTTCAGTAATACTATGTAACTACAACTACATCTACTAGTTATTATCTCTCTGTCAATCTCCATCTGAATATTATATCACAACAAGAGTGTCATCTAAACTTTCCGGTTTCCAGAAAAAATGTTTAAATGCAAATAGTGTTTACATTTAATAACAAAACATAAGAATCCTTTTTGGAGATTTTATGTGACACACACACACACACACACACACACACACACACACACACACTATGTGCATGTATATTTTTTTCAGGTATTGGGTATTGAATCCAGGAAATTTAGCAAGCTATGCAACCATTTCCCAGGGAAGAAAGCATATAGTTATATGTCTTGAGATTAACAGATTCTAAATTTACAATATAAAAGCTGTAGGGAACCATGTGAACCAGTAAAGATAACCAAAAACGCAGATGTTTCTATAGGAATCCCAGCCAAACTCTGAATGAAAATGATGAACAGCTGTAATGAGTCCTTAAATTCCCACAAAATGCTAGTTTTCTTATCTTGAGTTTATGGTATAATATGCTGAATAAAAATATCATTTCTGTTAAATGCTGCTTATTTTCACCTGCTTTGTCTTTACAAATAGAGTAGGCAGAATAAAGACTTTCTCAATACACCAATAATCTCATAACACAAGAGAGTGTCTGTGTGTTTCATTGCATTTTAGGCTGCAGGCAGAATTAAGGTTGCTGATATCTGATAGAAAGCCACAGAGATGTGGTGGTTTGAAAATGTATGTCCCTCAGAGGGAGTAGAATTATTAGGAGGTATGACTTTGTTGGGGGAAGGTATGGCATTGTTGGAGGAAGTATGTTTCTGTGGGGATGGGCTTTAAGGTCTCCTATGCTCAAACTACACCTAGTGAGACATTAATTTCTTTTTTTCTCTGTGAATCAAGATGTAAGACTTCCAGCTCCTTCTCCCGCACCAAGTCTGTATGCAGGTCACCATGGCCTCTATGATGATAATGGACTAAAACTCTGAAACTGTGAGCAACCCCAGTTAAATGTTTTCCTTTATAAGATTTGCCATGGCCATAGTGTGTCTTCACAACAGCAGAAAATGTAACCAAACACAGGAGATAATCCTCTAAGTGATCTAGTTGCGTCCAAAGCAATCTCCCAAAATTCTCAATGAGCAAAAAAAAAAAAAAGGAGTCAGAAGAGTATATGAGTGTGGAGGATGGTACAGAGTCAGCATGAAAAGTTGGATGTGGAAGATGTGGGCCTTTAGACCTCTGGAAGAAGCCAGGGCTAGAATCTCAACTGAGAATCAAAACAGGAGCAGTTACTGCAGTACTTTCAGTCTACTGAGATATGTGTTGGACTCCTGACCTACAAAAAGATGATAATTTATATTGTTTAAGTTACTAAATTTGTAATAGAAATAAGATAAGAATAGTTTTCCTAGTAAGTAATATTCTCATACTGTACTCCTCTCTTAAATTTTCATTGTACAAAATCTTCATCTCCAGTTAAGAAAGGAAATTTTCAGTTAACATTTATTCTTTACAACTGATCTTCAGGTAATGAACACCAAAATGATATTAATTTTACACATCAGGAAATGAAAGCATCATGAGTTTATAAAATGAACATCAGACAAATTAACATCATTTAATTAAAAACTTCAAGGATTGGGCAAAAGTGGTAATAGGAGATAAATATTCACACAGTTTGACTTGATAGATATTCACACAGTTCTACTTCAGTGTGAGCAAAAATGTTTAGAGAAAAACACAAAGTGAGCCGGTGTTGTTGGCACACACCTTTAATCCAAGCACTCGGGAGGGAGAGACAGGCAGATCTCTGTGAGTTCGAGGCCAGCCTGGTCTCCAGAGTGAGTGCCAGGATAGGCTCCAAAGCTACACAGAGAAACCCTGTCTCAAAAAACCAAAAAAAAAAAAAAAGAAAAAGAAAAAGAAAAAGAAAGAAAGAAAGAAAGAAAGAAAGAAAGAAAGAAAGAAAGAAAGAAAGAAAAATACAAAGTGACCCTAAGAAATACCATGGTAGGCTACAGTTCTGCAGTTATCTTAAGAGTCTCATCTTCTTGGTGCAAAAATGTTTTCTTAAATAATGATGTAGTTTGTTCATTTCCTTAGTGTTAGAATTTTCTCTATAGCAATTTGTAGGAGAAATGCAGGATTCCAAAAGTAATAGAATGATGATAACAAGTTGTGATGAATAAGTAATACTATTCATGAGAAAGTAAAAGCAACTGGAATTCATGTTTGAGAACACTCATTGGTACCTGATCTACCGTTTTATATTTGTCTCCCAAGGAGGAGAAAACACCGTGTTCAAAGCCAGAAGTTGTGACATTCTCTGCTAAATAGGGGCCTCAGCTCTCCTTGAAGAGTTCTAAGCTTGTTGATGCTTATTTCATTTTGTACTGAAGATACTCACCTGTCTCTCCTACTTATGAGAAATTAACAAGGACTTGAACAGAATCCCTATTTGAATAATCTTTCTTGTGCAAGAAGTAATGAAGAAGTAGAATTGACAGTATTTTCCAGATAGGCAATGAAGCCATCCAGAAGACAGAGCAAGTTGTACCTTATGCTCCAGTCCTGGTTGCTGTTAGGTAAACTACTCAATCTACCATGCATACAAGCTGCATACATCTCACTGCCACCTGGGGACATCATTCAGACACTGCACATGCTCAGGAAAACCTGCCAAATCCACTCTTAAAGTTCCAGTCATAGTATCAATATAACAGACATTGTTCCAAAGGTCTTTAAGGTAAGAACATGAATAATTTCTCCCAAGAGAACTTAAATATTTCTGCTTTGAAAAATAAATGACTTCTGAATTGATATCTGGTGATTTGTCTTTGGCTGAATATTAAGTTTTTCATATTTATGGAACACAAATTTTCAATATTCAGCTCAGCAAAAGGTTTATCTTGCATGTGAAGTTTGAATAAAGAATATTTCATAAATCATGGAGTGATACACAGAAAGGGAGATGCTGAAACAGGAATAGCAGGAATATCTATTAAGATTTACCCACCCCTACACACGAAAAAAAATGAGTCTTGAGCAAGGACAAAGAAACTATGTACCCTGGCTAGAGCAGCCACCAATATTTATACCACAGAGATATGAATGGCTGTCTTCCCATTTGTGCAAAAACATTGTTAGCCGAGTAGAAGCAGCTTTGGTAAGCATTCATCGATGACTGGTAAGGCAAGGATGTGCAAAGTGAAATAGATGGCTTATTTAGAATGTCTCACTTGTCCTGTTATGGAAGGAATGCAATCCTTGGTTTGATTAAAATTCCTAACATTGTATTTGTCTCTGTTGTCCTATACTAGAGACTTGGAGTAATTTCTTTTTTTTGTCTCATATAGTTCCAGGCTAGTCTCCTCCCCTAAGGACCTACAGAGCAGATAGCTGGTGCTTCTCTGTATTCTGTGCTGGCTGCAGAGGTTAAGACTTCTTTGGGATTCCCTGGGCAGTGGTGGCACATGCCTTTAATCCCAGCACTCAGGAGGCAGAGGTAAGCAGATCTCTGTGAGTTTGATGCCAGCCTGTTCTACAAAAGCTACTTTCAGGACAGCCTACAAAGCCACAGAGAAACTGTGTCTAAAAACACCAAAAAAAAAAAAAAAAAAGTCCTCAGGATTTATGTAGAAAACATTTGTATGGTCTAATAGGAAAATGGACATTTCTAAAGAATGCACTAGAAATATTTGCATTAAGCCTTTAGCCTTTTACTTTCTATATTCATTTTCTAGAGGTCTAGAAATTCAAATGTTCTATTAATCATCTAATTTACTGCTTTTGTTTTCCTGGACTAGACTAGCATCATCCTTAACATGGTCAATAAAAACATCATTGTTCTTACTGTGTTATACATGATTTATCTACGTTGACTGTACTTGTAAGCATATCTGTAGACCCAGAAATCTAGAGACATGGTAAGGAGGAGACTATCCTGGAACTATATGTCTCAAAACCATGAGAAGTAAGACAAATAACAAACAAAAACGCCTATAACAATATGTTCAAAAGTTATGTTGTAACTTTATCAAATATATGTCCTATTACTTACAGTCCCCACACATTAAGCATCCGCATTATTTTTCTCCATATTAGAAAACTGAAAGAACCAAACATGACATTATTAATAAATATGACTCTAAATTAGACATCAATAAATTGTGTCTATGCTGAAATATAGAACATGGTCACTCTATTTCTAAAAGCACATTACAGGGTCCACCCCTGTATCTCCAAATCTTCCATGCTTGCCTCTTCTGGACCTGCTGCATGCATCAGGGAATCTCCAGCTCTGTTTGAAAAGAAGTATTTGTATCAAGTTTCTCCTTCTACAGTATCATTTTTTTTCTGTTAATGTAGTTTGCTACCTCCTCAAGGTGGTCTCTTCCAGATGGCCACGTTATAATCATTGTTCTTTCTACAACACAAGTGGTTGGTTCTTTTTAAAACTTTCTATTTACAATTTATTTTATACACCATATTTTGATAATTTTATTTCTTCTCCCACAACTCCTCCTGGATCCTACTCTCCTCCCTTTCCACCTAACTTTGTCTTCTTTCTTACTGTCTCTCAACTCCCCAAAGAAAAAAAAACCCATAAACATAAAGCAATATTTCAAAACAGATAAAAGATCTGAAAAAATTAGAAAAAAATCAACAAGAAAAAAATAATTCAAACAGAACATGGAGTTTGTTTTGTGTTGGCCAGCTACTCCTGGGCATAGGAAGTACCCTGGAGTGTGATTGATACACCCAGCAACAATCTTTTGGAGAAAATTGATTTCCCCTTTCCTGATAGGTATAAATTACTAATAGCAATTCCTTTAGGGGTGGGATACTCTGTCTACTTCCTTTTATCAGCACCAAGAAACTGTTTGATTTGAAACTGCTTAGGTCTTGTGAATGCTACCACAGTTTCGGTGAGTTCATATGTGAATCAGTCCTGCTGTGTCTGGAATACAGTTTCCTTGGAGTCATCTACCACCTGTGACTCTTACAATCATTCTGCCCCCTCTTCCACATAGATTCTAGAGTCCTGATGAGAGAGTTTGATGAAAAAATTCCATTTAGGACTGAATATACCAAAATCTCTCACTCTCTACACATTGTTCACTTCTGGGTATCTGTTAATTACCATCAACTACAGGAAACTTCTCTGATGAAGGTTAAGTCTTGCTTTTGTCTGACACCTAGACTAGTGTGGCAACTGTCAGGACCTTTTCATTCTAGTTTTTCTTCTCTTCCTACATACGCCATTAGGACTCACTGGGCAGAGAGACTCTATGTTGCATCTCTACCACAACAGTAGAGTAGCACAAGTCTGTTACAATGACCTTTGAATGTTAAATCAAACTTGAGCATAGAAATGTATTTTCCTAGCCTTAGAGCTACTAATACTTGGAATTGGGCTGAGAACTCTGTTAGTATAGAACACCAGACTGTGTTGATAAATTGGAAAGGAGGAAAGGAAGTTTAAAGAGACTGACTGACTGACTGACTGACTGACTGACTGACTGACTGACAGATACTAGCAGTGAAATTCCTATTTACCTTGCTTGTTCTTCCTCCGATATTGCAATTTCCCCATACCAATAGGAATCACCTAATGCTTCACAAACATTGTGCAAAAATCTAAATGAACATTTAAAATTCACATTCTAGCCTATTGTAAACATGTACAGTACAGACAAAATCCTATACCACAGTGAAAATTCAAGCAGTTCTAATCTTAGTGTGATTAGGAAAGCCTACTGGGACCTCATCATCCTGAATGACTTTGCTTTGCTGCTTCTACTTTTCATGGAAGTGTGTGAGTGTGCATGCATGTTGGTGTTGATGGACATGATTACATCCTTTCAAGACTGTTGATTCAGAAGGGCAGGAAAACTGCATTGTTATAATATTCAGCAATATTTAAGATTTATCAAATCTTTCAGAGATTTCTGATGGAAGATGAAAGTCAATGCCCATGACTTTGAAGTGAGTGCATAGCTTCTGATGTGCCATACTCTGAAATTTTCACATAATAACCCAGGTAATAAAAGGGTAGAAAATGTGCTGTGTGAGATCATGGAAGGCTTTCTTAAAGGCAGGGTAGCAAATATCGAAAATTACTGTTTCTTCTGCAGTGAGTTAAGAGGACATCAAAGGAGAAACTTTTATAACTAATTTTGTTTGAGAAAGTAGTTTTTACTTTGTTTTATATTTTACCTACAAAATAAGAAGCATAAAGAAATCTCTGACATATTATGGAAAAAATAAACTGATAACATTAACAGTAATGTTTCTAGCAGCATTTTTCCACAGAAAAATCTATAGGAGTATCAAAAACTACATCTTCCTTCATCTTCCATTAAGTTGTTAAAAAAGTACATGATGTTAGTTAAATGCCATATTCCCCTATGTGTCTGTTCTCTTTCTATTGAAGAGAAATCTTGTCAGGACACATTTATACAAGGATTGAAATGCATACTATGACATTTGTCCCATACTAAATAAAAAAATGTGATTGTATTCACTTTGATTTATATAAAATTATAAGTATTCTTAATATTTACATTCAATCATGCATCACTTATTCCTGATTTAAACAGTTATTCATTATTTCACAGTGTAAACTCTTGTCAAAAGTATACTGTTTGTATTCTTTATTTTGAAAACATGATGCAGCTCATATATTTCCTTTAAATAACCTTCCACTTTCCCTAGGCATTTATAATTTTGATAAATTTCTATTTACATAATATTTTAATTAAATTTCTATATATTCCCTCTTTAGGTTGATACATCTCTCTGTATCTGTTGATTGGTCACAATAAAAGGACTTAGTCCAAGTCCTTTGTAGACACTTTGATGTGTTTATTTAATGTGCACAGCATTTATAGTGAGTTAGGTTCTAAATTTTCTTCCATACTGTGAACAATGCAATGATAGAACAAATAAGTACAGTAAGTCTCCACCACTGGAAGTGAAGGAATCAAAGGGATAGGATAGAAAGGCTTCTTCATTTGCTTTCTCAATGGTTCTATGCAGTTCATTATCTTCTCTTTTTCTGACTTTTCTGAAGATAATAACATAATTTTAATACAATTTTGATTTTTCCAAAGAAAAGAATAATATTACGCATATCTAAATTGTTGCATTGTGACGTGTCAAGTGTAAACAAAGCACTCTATGTATACTGAAATATGTACCTCATGCTGAGTGCAGTGCAAAGCTGAAGCAATTATTCTATTCAAGTAAACAATAATTCTGCTAATTTAAGACCTTGTTACTCAGTAAAAGCAATCACTCCACACTGAAGTTGAGAAACACAGCTTGAAGAAAGTTACATTTTATGTAATGACACATAACCTGAAAATCTGCTCTGCATATCAATAATCACAAAGGCAATTTAACATTACAACTTGTATTAGTACATTGTACCGTTACTCTCACAATGAATAGTATAGTCCAAATCCTCTGAACACCATGAAGTGCATGGTGCTTAGCCTGGACATCTGACTGAAGACTCTGGCTAGTTGAATGCTCTCAACATGCATTTACATTAGAGGTATATATTCACTGACACTCAGTTAAATGAAATCTACCCTTAAGTCTCCAGGTTCCTTTTCCTTCAATATCCTTTTTCTTCATAATAGCATTGTTACTGTTCTAGTTTTGAAGACTTTCAATGTTAAGTTGAATACTAAAATATAAACTTTACTTAACATATGTAGACAAAGGATTGCATTAATTATAAATGCATGGTTTCATTTCTATTGCTGTGATAATACACTGTTGAAAAGCATTTTCAACCAACAAAAGAAGTCAGGACAGGATCCTAAAGGCTGGACTTCTTGGTATCCCACCCAGAATTACCTTGAATCAGAGAAACTACTGTAGGGAGTAACCCTAGCCCCGCCCAATAGTCCTGGGGCAGGTACCAGGTGGACCTGGGGACTCGCCCATAAGGGCGGGGTGAAGGAAAGCCGGGATGACGTAAGAGGGGCTTCTTAAAGAACTGCACGGGGGGGACCGCGCTCTCTCTTTGTTCTGGCTGCGCTGGCTGGGTTCTTAACCTAGCTCTGGCCTGTGTTTCATCCGGCTGTGCTTGGAAATAAAGAGACTTTAATCCAATAAACTACTCATACCCAAAGTACATTAGAACAGGAGGACTGATGCTTGATGGCTTGTTCACATCCTCATGCTTATTTAGCTCTCTCATACAGCCTAGAACCACCGCCCCAGAAATTGTATCATCTGCAGTGGGGTGAACTCTCAAACATCAATTAATAAGTAAGAAAGCCAACCTGCTCTAGGTAATCCTTCTGCTGATTACAGGTGACTCTAATCTGTGTCAAATGGACAGGTAAAGCTAAGTAGACTAATAGATATAGAGCTTAATGATTCCTCTCTATGTAGTAGTCAGGAAACATGTCTTTATCAGTGATTGGCAGACAGTTTCTTTATGGAGATAGAGACATCATAAGGAGTCTTTTCTCAGTTATCGTGTCA